TATCGATCTGGTCAACATTTATGCTTTTTGGCATGTACTCTGATTTCTATTTTTGGACCATTCACAGATCCAATTTCTCTTTGTGAAAAGCTGTAAGATTTTTTTTATCCCTGGAATCTTCCACAATTTTCTCGTTTTCAATGGAATAGCTCTTTCTCTTTGCACTCATTTTCTCTGAGCTTCAAAACTTATCTTTTAAATTTAGTATTAAATAAAGTGATAAATATCAATTGCTTTTGCAGCATATTGAATTCTGAACATTCTAATTTGTTGCAAATGCACATGTGTCTTGCATCTGCACTGATCATTGCCGGTAAAGCACCTGTCTGGCTGACGATCATAATAAGGCCTTTTTAGGGGTAGAATTTTATTAGAAGTACTTTGAAAAATCATGCTAGAGCTTACTTTTTTATTAGGTGTTATTTTCAGGGAAACACGGCATACATGAAATGATTATTACGTATTTTCAGACACATCCTGCTTTAACATGTTGCATCATGATGAATGTATGCATGTATGGCACTATTATGAGAAGTGCTTGCGCTTGCTGGAATTACTTTATGCATCATTACACCAACCCAGAGCAGCAATCATAATTCATGGTTTGGGAAGGAAATTGGATATGACTTCCATTTGGTTGTGGTACACTTATCTGGCTTTCCGACCCAGTCACAATTACGTTACAAATGAATTAAGGCCTGTACTTGTTCTAAAGAAAGTTTTTCAGAGCAATTTATGATTGTTGCTAGTTTTTGATATAACGGCAAATAAAAATTAAAAAGAGTACTAAAAACTGTTAAGGTCAACTCCACATATTATCAGGGACATATTTTATACCCAATTTTCAAATATGAAATATCTTCTGTTTAACCACAGTACCATTAATAAGTAGAACTGCATCAAGACAAAATAAGCACCAGCACATCAATATCCACTGTTCTATTCCCGGGAAAAATGAAGAAAGATGTCAAAAAGCATGTCAAGGCCATGACCTTTACTCATATCCCTACTAAATCTCCTGATATATTATCCACAGACTTTTGTTCTTCTGGATTTTTAAAAAGTGGAGTGTTCAAATGTAGAACTACAACCCTCCTTGGACTCTGTAAAGCCGTTCAAGAGGAATGGGATAAAATATTTCTTCCATTACTAGAAAAGGCTTTATTTTCTTGGAAATTATGGTGTAGAAAAATAGTGAAGAATAAGGGTTATGAAATGGAACATTTGAAACAAGAATTTTAGGTAAAACATTTCTGTAAATACAATATAAAATCATCTAAACAATGTGCGAACAGCCTTAGTAGTATGCAAAAGTATTGAATGCACGTAGGCAAAGTATACATGCCCCCCCCCCCGGGGGGGGGAACTAAAAGAAAAAAGTTTTTTTTTCTGTAGTTCAGAGGTCTTTATTTTAGATCATTCAAGATATTGGACATCTGGATTTCAGATTTTATACTGTACTCAGGGTTCGTACGGTCCTTAAGAGTCCTTAAAAGTCCTTAAATTTTTTAAATCGATTTTTGGTCCTTAAAAGTCCTTAATTTTGGCCAAAATCAGTAGAAGGTCCTTAATTTTAATCATCTGAAATTTCTCTCTGCCATTTTGAGTGTGAATTAGCATTTTGGAGAAATATTTTTGGCAATTCACTGACATATATGGTTATCTTTTAAATGGGTTCATGGGTTATAATTTGTTTCTATTTCTAACATAAATGATGGGCCACTCAAATTTCTAAGCAAGAAGTGAAACATAAGCATTTCAAAATTCATTTTTTCTGATAAAGAGCTCTTAAACAACTTTTCGCTTTTGGGGTTGTGATTTCTTTTATTAAATGGTTCTAAATTTGACAACTTGTCAACATTTTGGTGATTTTAAGATCAGTTTCTAGAGAAAATTTTTAATTCCGAGATCTGAGAATTTTTCGGCGATCTTTTTTAAAACATCATAACATTGTTAAATTTCATTAAAATAATGGTAATGTATTAGAATTATATTTAATAAAGAACATTAAAATAAAACATTTTTATTTTTTGCTGTCATATTATAAAGTTTCATTTTGGCAACTTATTCTACAATATTTTAAATCTGGAAAAAAAAAAAAAAAAAAAAAAAACAAGGTGTAGAGTTATAAAGCATAATTTATGAAACAGCTCTTAGTAAAAGCAAAATTAGCTATGTAATTAATTAAAATGTCTTCTTTTTAATTTCTTTATAGTAAGTGTTTTTCCCATGTAATTGTCTCAGAATATTCAAAATTCTCAGAATATGCATCAGTTTTATCTATAAATATAAAAGTAATTTTACATTTTTTTCCCTCCTTTTTTTTCCTATATTTATATTTCTGGCTTTTTGCTGTTACAGAATTGGTTGGGATAATTTTTCTTTAGTATTTTTGACACAGCAGCTTGGAAAATTTAGAAGAATTTGAAGGCAAGAATTATAGACCCACGATTCTAGAAGATTCTAGAAATATGTGACAAAGTGAAAAATGTCTCCATGGTATCAACATATCAACACATAATGGATGCATTTTACAGAAAGTTTGCGATGAATTTCTTATTTGGAGAACGTCTGCAAGAACAATGGAAACATAATATTTGAATGTTTTACTCCTGATACTAGAATCTTTTTTCTTAACATGTTTATCTTCCCTTTATTTACTCTACTTTTCACTAGACAAAAGCATGGAAAATATCAAAAATGCTTCTAATCTTATCACTTGGGCAGGCATTACAGAAAGAAGTTTTTTTATTAATAAAGAAATTGAAAACTTAAATTTAAAAGATTCATCTAATATGTCTAGATGCATCTTTCACAGAGCTGGTGCTATGCATTTTCTCACCTGATGCAATCTCTATGTATCCTAAATTCTGCTGCCTAGTGCCTATCTAAATTCTGCTTCCAATGCCTGCTCTAAATTCTAAAAGTTTTGCCATTTCTAGATTTTGTTGTTCTGTGTGTCACGAAATTCTAAAAATTCTGCCACACCTGCTTTGTAACCGGCCTTTACCATATATATTTCATATTTCTTCTGAATGTTCGTATTACTAAAAAATTAAATTAGCTGCTTTTTCTGTACATTCTAAATGCATTTAATGTTTTTTAGAATAGCAGAAATCCTTAATTAAATCCAAAAATTCTAAAATTAAAAGGAAACACGTTGAAGAAAGAAACCAAATGCATAAAGAAAATTATTCTTCAAAGATATGTGCAGTTATTATTATGTAAATTACCCAATTGTTTATCATTTCAGCCTTAACTATAATTTCCCATTTCTGTTTCCTCATATGATAGAGTTACTGAGCCAGATTAAATTAAAATTAAATTGTATTATCTTTGACCACTAGTTCACATTTTTAGTTTGAATTTGACTGTTCTTGTTTAATTACGTCACCGTGAGCTGTAGTTGACTTTGTTAGCATCAGAACATGCCTTTATGTGCTAAGTTCTTTGTCTGATATTGTAGTTACTTTCAGATACAGTGATTATTTGCTTCATGTCTATCGGGGGGGGACTATTTAACTTTTACCAGATCAAGTAAATAATCATAGGTACATTGTGGAGAGGTTGACAAGTTAGGAGATAAAGCACACAGAAACTAGCGAGGACATTGGTTTGCATATTGAGACAAATTTCTAATTATTGTCACAAAAGATCGATGATTAAAGAGAAGAAAATCAATATAAACTAGCCAAAATGTTTGGGACTTGTAGAGACATGAAAGCAGAAAAGATAAATAATTAACAATGCCTTCTCCGGGAATCGAACCGCAGACCTCTGGAATACCGCTACCAGTGTGCAAACCACTACACCACGAAGGGTCGCCAAGAAGATGGGAGAAATACCTTATATACTCCCCCTTTTAAATGGCGACTGTGGTTTTTAGGGAAACCAATCGCCAAATCCTTTGTGTGGAGAACCCATCAAGTAACCATCACCCATCAAATAACCATCAAACACCATCAAGTAAAACTTATTCTTTGCATGTACTGAGACTTATATATAAAACAACTTATCGCCTCTGGCGCTTTAATGGCTTATTGGAACCTTAAAGTTTATTAACTGGTTTACAACCCCTGGAACTCTACACAAAGCTATGACATTAACTGCATTAAGCAGAGCTTGGCTAGCTTCAACACTTGCCAACTTTGCCTACATCAGGCCTTTCAGGTTTGTTCCAATCAGCAGGTCCCTCTATAGATCCCTCTATAGACAAGCAGCAGAGGGACAACATTCAGTCTTTTGTTATGAATCATGCTGATTATGATCTCACTTCTCATTTTAACGTATGCCATTTGACATAAAATCTCCCTACTATTTGCTAAATCTCTAGACTGACCAAGTATGTGACAAAATTAGACATAAAAAAAAGGGGAAAAAAAAAAAAAACCCTTCAAGCTAACTATTAGTAAAACGTAAATGTCACTTATCTTCTTTTAAATATGACCAACTATTTATTATAAGTGTAAAATATTTAATGCTACTTGATAAACTGTATGAAATTAATTTTATTCTCAAACTTATTAATAATTATGTTAGTTAATTCATGTTTAGTAATAATGCATACTACTTAGGGATCTATTTTATGTTTAGGATGGTATTACAAAAGTGAAATTCAGGCATAGAGTAATATTTTTAATTAAATTTATTCAGTTTCCATTTGCTCATAGGTCCTTAATTTTTTTTTCATTAATGGCCCTTAATTTTTTTTCATTAAGTCCTTAAAAGGACTTAATTTCCATGTGCAGAAATGTGTACGAACCCTGTGTACTTTGTGTAATATTTTCTTATGTTTTTAAATTACATCTAGTATAATGAATAGCATCATTAAGTTTCATCCAATTTACTCGCATATTTTTTTTTACTATCACCAGTTTTGCATTTCTTGTTTAACTTTTGGAATCCAATATAAATCTTCTTAATTAAAAATATTTTAAGCATATATAAATTAAAAAATTTGGCAAATGTGACTAAGATTTCTCTATGTTGTCTCTCTTTAGATGCCTCAACACATGATTAATTTTTATAACAAAGTTATTACTTCTAGAGCTTCACTTCTAATTTCGGACTTCTTAGTTAAAATTTCGCAATTCTGGCCTCCTGAGGAAATTTTCATTTTACAACCAAGTAAGTTAGTTCTCCTCTCTTTAGAAGTTTGCATTTTCATATTTGAAAGCATTTCTAGATATATGCAAATGTACAGTAAGCAGAATTTTTTTACAATAGATAACAGCTAAAAAGAATGGTATATTAATTTATTTTGTATATGGTTATTTTCATATCTTTGTCTATTTTTGTTTCTTTTAATGAACAGATACCTTCTACCTAATTATTTAAGCTTATTGTTATGCTACTTTATTAAATACAGGGGTTGGACAAAAATATGGAAACACCTTTAAAAAAAACATGTTTCTTTGCTTAATATGGTGTAGGAAACCCGTTGGCATCCAAAACAGCTTGCAGTCTTCTCGGAATGGATAAATACAGTTCCTGTATGTTTGCCAAGGGAATATTATACCATTATTCCTGCAAAACAGTGGCAAGTTCAGATAACGATGTTGGCGGTGGATAACGAGAGCGCACTTTCCGTTCCAATGTAGACCACAAAGGTTTGATAATATTCAGGTCTGGTGACTGTGGTGTCCAGGGGGAGATGGGACAACTCATCCTCGTGCTCAGAAAACCAGTCCTGGACAATGTGAGCTGTGTGAACAGGGGCTTTGTCGTCTTGGAAGACACCACCATCGGGGAACAAAGTTTGTACCACGGGATGAACTTGATCGGCCAAAATGTTCACATAAGTCTTGGCAGTCATGTGCCCTGATACAGTTATCATGGGGCTAGCAGAGAACCACAATATGGCTGCCCAAACCATAACAGAACCCCCGCCATGTTTCACTCTTGGCAACAAGCAATCTGTATTATAGGCTTGAGATGGCGTTCTCCAGACGTAAACTCGGCCAGAAGTGGGAAACAATGTGAAAGAAGACTCGTCAGACCATATTACTCACTTCCACTGCTCTATAGTCCAGGCTTTATGACTTAAACACCACCTTTTCCTCTTACAGGCATTAGCATAACTGATGAGTGGCTTCTCAATTGCAGCACGGCCAGCAATTCCCTGTTTATGAAGCTCCCTTCTAATTGTTTTGGTACTCACAGGGTTCGGTAACACAACATTCATTTCAGCAGCAACTTTTGCAGCTGTGGTCTTCTTATTTTTCGTCACAATTGCCCTTAATGATCGTCTGTCACGATCACTCAGGACACACTTTCATCCGCACTGTGATTTAGCAGATGATGTTTTTCCGCTTTTCAAATATGCGGAATAAATCTTCGATACAGTACCTCTTGAAACACTAAACACCTTGGCTACCTTGCTTACGGAAGCACCTACCATATGTGCTCCAACAATTTGACCACGTTCGAAGTCTGTTAACTCTGACATAATGCAATGACAACCTCACATAACAGTACTCTGACAACAACTGAACTGTTTAGAACATTTACGAAGTTGTATAGGTGGCGTCAGTAGTCAAAAATGCCAGCGCCACCTACATATTTCATTAAAATCAATCTTTCTTTTCAAACATGCATTTCACAAGGTGTTTCCATATTTTTGTCCGTCCACTGTATCTTCTCAAAATTTTAATGATTTCTTTGCCTTTTTTTTTTTTTTTTTTTTTTTTCCCTCTATAAAATGGGATCAATTTTTATTCGAGGGGGAATGTTTTTAAGGTTTTGGTCCTCGCACATTTCTTGTATACCGAATCTCGACTTATCCATAAACTAAACAAATCTCTATTTCTCCGTTCAAAAATTTATATATTTTATAACCTCCTAGATTTGAACTCTGCATTGTTTATTCCTTTTTATTTGGCAAATCAGAAGTTTCAGTTTAGGTTCTTGCTCCGTAAGATAATTAGAAATGATGTGTCTCTATTGTTTTTAATAAGAGGAATTGCAAATAAATGATCGTATTATGCAAAAACTTGGGTATGTATATTTGTAGCAACATTTTGTCAATGTTTCTGATAGATGAGCAGTAAGATCTCTGCTTTGTTATTATGTACATATTAGATTCTGCTAATCAAAATGTTGATTTTATGGAAAAGTTAATAATAAATGAAGTGATGGATATGTGATATTGCCTTGTATGGTGAGCAGAATTTTAGTTTTCAAAAAAAGTATTAGAAATGATGTGGGTGACCAAGAGAGGAAAGATGGCAGATTTGGTGTAATGTGAATATCATATTGATAGCTTTATTTGACTACTTTCTGCTGTTCATGATTATTCTGTAAAATGTTGAAATATTAAAATATTGCTTAGTCCCCCCCCATCACTTTGTTAATTCAAAACGTAAGCAGTTAAGCAAAATAATGGAGGCTAATAGTTCGGCTGCTTCATTATTACAGCTTCCCGTATCATTCAAAATTTGTTTTAATAAATGTGGGCTGTTTACTATTTTAATATTGCTGTGTATATCTTTTAGTTATTTTCTAAAACAAGAGATCTGCTCAACAGAGAAACAGGTTCCTAAAACAGGGATCAAGAATCAAGTTTTTGAGGTTAATAGATATCAAAATGGTGACAGATGCAACTAGTCATTTATTTGCAGTCTGAAAAACTGGATTATGCTTCAAAGAATGGATTTATTATTTCATGTCCTAATTAACTTGTGTGAAGATTCTGAAATTCAAAATTATCATACAAGCTGATTTTACTTCACAGCTATAAGTCAGATCTCATGTTGAAACTATTTTGTACTTTCTGATTACACCTCATTGAAAAGTTGGGAAAAAGTAGTCTTGAGACAAAGCAATGTTACCAGAATAGTTATGTGGCAATTCATGATATCACCAAAAAACAAATATGTACCAACTTAGATATGCACATAGCACATGTATGTTTTGGCAGGTTCATAATGCTGATGTTGTATGTATGCCAGATTTGTGCAATTATCTGATTTTTACTTCCTTGTATGAAGTATAGTAATAGTGAAAAAGTTTCATTTATCAAATTTCAGCAAAAATATCCATTTTGACCATTTCCTAATCCATGTCAACTATTTTTTTGCATGGCATGTGTATCGAAGAAGAGAATAAATGGCTCTTTATTTTAAAGCAGATTATGAAATGAATTTAAAATGGACTTTTTCATGATGTCTGTATGTATCTTGCATAACTCAAAAAAGAGTAGCCATAGAACTTCGAAATTTTGTATATGCAACTGCTGTAACATATAGTTATGCACCTTCCCCCTTTTTTCCCCTGCAATCAGCAATATCAAATATGTACACGCACACACACACACACACACACACACACACACACTATATATATATATATATATATATATATATATATATATGATAAAAACTTGGAGAGACTGCTGCATAATTAGAAAGATGACCACTCAAAGGAGAGACTTGTAGACAGACGTAGCCAAATTAAACATAATCTTTATTGCTGAGCACAAACTAATTATTATTTTTCATTGCACATGATCATGAGCATAATACTCACACCACAGTTTTATATAAAATATGATTTTTAGATAACAGCATAGTTAATAGTATAACAAAGCACAGTGAAATGAAAGAGTCCAAGCGGCAACAGGCCTGCAAGCTAACTGCATATTTATCACACATGGCAGTCTGTTAAAAGAAAAATTTTGGTTTAGGTTAGAAAAATTTCAATTCCCAAGAGTTATGTAATCAGCATTGCTCAGGCCATGCAGGATCGAGTGATCTAGAAATATAGCTTAATCAATCTTTACTTTCACGATTATTGGCCATAATCATATACTTCCAATTACAAAAGTCTTTTAAATTGCAAAAGTATTTGTTTTCACAGTGTCATATTTTTAAAAAAATTTAATTTTGGACTAGTGACAAAATTTTACTGCAAATATGGTCTTCCAGTTCTTATATGTATGTTTGAGATAGTATATTTAATTTCAAAATTGAAATTTTTTTATGTTATTTTCAACTTGCCTTGAGAGATTGGTTAATTAGGTTAAAGTAATTCAAGGAAATAAGTTTAAATGTAGAACAACAAAAATTGTGTTTAATTTAATAGGCCGTACAAGGGATTCATGTGGTGTCCACATTAGATTTTTTTAAGCAAAAGCAGTTTGCTATCTATGTACATAAGAAAAATACCAGGTTAAAAAAAAAAAAAAATTCTCAAAAAAGTATTTTATTTCAACATAAAACAGTTTTCAGCATGGAAATAGAGAAAACATGTATTTAAAAAAAATTTTAGAGTAATTTTTCTCAGGTTGTAAATTATAGTAGATTCCAGTAATTAGTTGTTTAGGTGATCAAGATTGCACTGTATACAAGTTTGTATCTGCAGCTGTATAACTTGTTTCCAAATACTTTTTTTTCTCCTCTTTTTAGGTTACAAATTCATAGAAATGAGGGTTCAGAAGTTAAGCCAAAATGTAATTGCAAAAATGTGTCTTCCTAAGTTTCAAGGGAATCCTAATTCCACAGATGATCTATGGCATTATGTAGAAAATGTTGCCAATCTTGTTGATGTTGAAAAAAATATGTTAATTTTGAAGTATGGTTTTCTCTAAATTTTATCAGTTTTCATATATTTATCACAGATAACTGTTATTTGTTATAACTACTGTTTATTTATGATACTAAACCTTTTTTTTTTTTTTTCTCCAGTATAAAGAATGTTTTAGAAAATGTACCACAGGTTTCAATTTGGACAAATGTTATCAGCAAGTGTGCTTATCATCTTCTTTGCAACCAGTATTCAAAACTTATGGTACAGTTTTAATTTGCTTGAATTTTAATGTATATCATATGATGTAAAATGATAAAATCAGTAATTATCTTCACCTTTTTTTATATGTTATATGCATTTTAAAAACAAAAATATCATTTATAGTACAAAGTCCGAGATCCGGACTCGTCAGGACAATTCCAGTTTGGGATTTTTCCGATTTGGGATCATCAGTTTAAGTCTAGTAAGATGGAATGTAGAAATTAAAAATATGAAATTGTGTTTATGAAATAATGAAGCATCTATGATCTAAAGGGTGTCAAAATTAACAAAAAAAAGGGAGGCTTCATATTTATTTGTTTACTTTATTAAACATTTCTTTTCATGTAAGTTATTTAAGTTGCTTCGATTTTTGTGCTAATACTTTCTCTTTAATTCTATAGACAAACATATATTCTTGTTCAGTTAGAAAGTTCCAGTTTGTTAAAGTCCTATAATTGCTGTGTCGAGAATTCCAATTAACTTATCAATCGAAATTTTTTCATTTTCAATAACATCTCGGTCACATTTTCACTATCATTAGTGGTATTTTCTAGATCTAGAACCATACTACAGATTATGCTCTTCGTTAATTGATTGATGATGGGGGCATTGTCCTCGTAATGAAAAATTTATGTTATATCATCTTCTTTTATTATCGCTTCTCCACATTTCTTTACAAAAATCCATTAGGAATCCATTGGAAAATTTCAACTTTGGTTAGCGATATCTGAAAACCTTCAAATTTTTGGAGACACATCCTCCCACGATTTTGCAATGCTCCACATAGTAGATTTATACTAAAATATTTTTAAATTCTTGAACAGTCTTGCCATTATTCAAGAAATTTAACAGGGATTTAAAAAATGATACTTTATATTTGCATTTCAGAGCGAACACTATTACGATATTCATAGGCTGAACGATGGTCGCACAATTTGGAGGAAAGAATAATATAGATACATTATCTTTCACTAAAACTTTAAGTATAAGCTGAACAGTTGTCTACAATCAGGACAGTTTTTGTGTCATCAGGTAAACGAACCAAATTTAAAATGTTGTTGAACCTTGGATATGAAATTAATTTCAAACCAAGCATTCATTAACGCTTGTGTCATCCATGATCTTTTATTTTCATGATATATAATGGGGAAAATCTTTATTCCTTTAAATGTTCGAGATATGTATTTTTTACAATTACGAAAAGTTTACACTTGTGCGTTCCTGCAGCATTTATGCATGCTAAAATTGTAAGTTTTACTTTGGAATCTTTGATACCAGTTGGAGACTTCTCTAGAGGTTGCCAAGGTATTTCACGGGACATATTGCCAGAAAAAATAACAATTTCATCAGCATTGTAAATTTTTTCTGGATATAACATTTCACTATTAATGAGTTCAATGAATTCATCTGCAAATAGTTCAGCAGCTTACAACTGAATTTTTAATTGCCTTATACCATGGCAATGTTTAAATTTGGCTAACCAACATGTTGAATATGTGCGCCCAGTTTTTAAGTTCATTTCTTCATGAAAAATTTTGGCTTGGCAATGCAATTGACAGATGCACAAATTTTAGCTTGACAATTTGTGCATTTTTGTGCATGCACAATTTGGCTTGACAATGCCAAAGATAAAATTTTGGCTTGATAATGCAATGCTCCTCAGTTGCACGCCCTTGCTGCAACACTATGATCCATTCAACCATTACTTTGTCATGATTGTCACTTCTAGCGTAACGAATAATTCTGTTATTCGTTGCGAGTGGGGTGTCAGAGTTACAAAAAACTCCTTTTTCTTTGTTTTTTTTTTAATGTCATATCCAACTGACTTTCCAATGCCATACTTCTCGCATAATTGTGAAACAGATATACCTTTATCCACTTTTTGTTGCGATTCCACTTTTTGTTTAATGGACATGGAAACATGCTTTCGCTTTGTAAATCCTTTTTCATCTCAAAATTACAAGCTCTTTTCAACATAATCGAAAGTTTAAACTTTAGTTTTCATAAAACTGCTGTAATAATAATAGCCTGCAAAATATAATAAGCTGGATCAAATCAGAAAGTTAAGGAACAGGCAATTTTATCTGGCTTCTATTGTGCACTGAAGCAGTTAAGCATGAGTTGTATTAATTTAGTTATTTATTATACTTATGCCTATTTTTTGCACGTGTTTAAGGCTTATCTGAGTCCTTAATAAATAAATTTGCACATATACTTAAAGCTTATCGAGGGCCAGCACTAGATATCTTACCACCTAATGCAGTCTCTGGGGGTCCTAAATTCTGCTACCAAGTGCCTCCCTAAGTTCTGAATTTTTGCCTCCCCTGGTTTTAGTCCCAGTGCTTTCACTGAATTATAAAAATTTTGTCATACCTTAATTTTGCTGTTCAGTTCTTCTCTGAATTTCAAAAATTTTGTTTTACATAAATTCTGCCACCTGGCGCGGCTATACGAGATCTTGCGCCAGTTCTAGGTTAATGTGAATAACAAATAAATTACTCTTTATTCAAATAACAGTAAATGTAATCTTTTCGCCTATGAATTTCATTAACAAAATTTATTTTTAGCATATGGAAAGAAATTTTTCTTAAATTTTTCCTCACTAACGTTTGTTAGTGCATTTAACTTAAATCTGTAATCATCGCCTAGTGTAATGTCAACATAAAAGGTTAAAATACTTTTCGCTATTCAATTACTAATATATATATAAAAAAAAATATTTAGACATTGCTGCATGAGCCATTACTCAAGTTATCATGTGATGATAAACATGTGGTGATGGAAGCAAAATATAATAATGATTCACCACGTTGCCGTCAGGAATATAAAATATTAGTTGTGTAAAATCAACAATGTTTCTATGTAGAATGTTTTGTATGAGATGTATGCCAAGCAGGTACGCAGCTACGGAGCCAAATGATTGGTCACACAAATTTATGTTAAAATGATTGTTTCTTGAATAATGAGGTTCTTGATCTAGTTCTAATGTAAAATTAACAATCGGAACTCTACACATGTTTTATTATGGGTGGAAAAAATCAAATGTGCACGCGTAAAAAAGGGGGTATGAAAAAAAGGGGAGTCATTGGTTCTGCAAGGAAAATTGTTAAAAGATTTATTGCTTACTTAATTCATATTCTGTCACTTAATTCCATATGTGCAATCATTAAATATTTATGATGTTAAAGTCATGGATTTTTTATTTCTGCTACCATTAAGAAATGAAACTTAGCATTCAGTATGTTGTTGTGCTTCAGTAACTCATTCGTTTATTATCAGTATCCTAAATTATGTGTTTTTTTAAGTTAATAAAATTTGGTTTTTGCAGTCAATACAGTTGTTAAACTGTCTTTTAACATGCTAATTTTTTCAGGCATATGATAATTTCTTACACGTAAGAATTACTTAAAGCATGTAAGAATTATCAAAACTTTCTGTCAAACTTATTCATTTGTAAATCTGTACCATTTAATAAATATTTTAAGAAACTAATTATTCACCCATCTTGTGTCCAGACCAGACACACTGTGCCACAAAGGGTTAATTCTATTAACATTTAGGGTGAGGCATGAGGATTTGACAGTTTTCATGCCAATGTTGTGAATGAATGGGAGCAAAAATTTCATGAGCACTGAGAAATAAGGTTTATTCCAATTTTCTGAGACATATCCATGTCTTAATTATGTTAAAAAGGTCATTTCTATTGTAATTACAATAATCCTTTTGCTCTGTGTTAAAATTTCATATAACATACTGCAGTGTAGCAACACCAGTAAGGAGAACTTTACAAAAGGTATGTGATATTTAAACTTGATACAGAAGGGTCAGTAATATACACTTTAAACTTGGTAGAAAGAAGTTTGGAATTATTATTCAAGAAATCAAGCTGGCTATTCAATCTTTTGAAACTGCTAAGTCAGTTGGATAAGGAAGCCCACCAGCTGACAAGTGGTAAAGTCGCTGAACACTGGTAGTTCCAATCTGGGTTCAATTCCAGGAAAATAGACTGGCTGCATGGATGTTTTTATGGTTTTGTCATGTATATATGACCCAGTTTTTCTTAGAAAATCCTCCATGAAAGCATCCCTCATCTTAGGCAATTAGCTCGAGTGCTTTGCAATAATCTCATTAAACCAAACTTGAGTGCTTTGCAATAATCTCAATAAACCAAACCAAATCTTTTGGATAATGGACATCATCTGAAATCTTCCTGCCAAATCTTGATTTATACAGTATAGTTCTCTCCTGTTGGAATCAAAGGTCCAGATCAGTCTTTGGAGTCTTGATTGAAGCTTCATCAAACTGATGTCAATTTGTTGCAGCATATTATGTAAAACTTTCTTGCTTGTCTTTTTTCCTTACGACACAAATATATATCAATAGCTTATAATAACCCCTTATTCTGTTTGTAACAGTACTCGTGTATTAATTATACTCCATGTCACATTGTTGTCAACCATCATATTTTCACATTTCACTTGATATTTCATACATTTTACCATAAGAAAAAACCTTCATGGTAAAATATGTGACATATATCAGCATTGGAAGGTACAGAAGTAAAATTGTATTTACCATTATTAAATTATGCTTGTTTTTTTTTTTTTTTTTTTTTTCATCTTTCCTCTTTATTTATAATAATTTCATTATGGTATTTTTTATATTTTGTAGAATTTGGGTATGAATGAATTGATTTATTATGTGAAGGAAGAAGCAGATGAATTGAACTTTGATGACTTTTGGGAAGTTTCGTTTTTAGACTGGAAACTTGACTGTGAAAACAGTAAGTTAACTAATTACTGAAGTTTCATAAATGTATATTTTTATGGCATAAATCATAATATATTCTTGTTATGTTACTAGGACAAAAAAGGAAGAACCTTCTAAATGAAGAAGATAATCAAGTAGTTAAAAAACCAAGAAAAGATTTGTTAACTAGTGACTTGAATTTAATGAAGATATACCAGTCAACAGCAAACAATGGTATGGGTTCTGTTATTTATTTGCATTTATTTATTTAAATTGTAATAATACAGGGTTATTCAAAAATAAAGAGCAGATTTCAAACATTTATTTCTTCCAAACTACAAAAGATAGAAACATGATTCTAACGTTAATGGATAGAGAAAAGTTTACAATTATGGTATGCATTCAATATGAGCACCGTGTGCTACACGACAAATGTCAAAACGGTGGCTCATTTCTTGCCACACATGAATCAGCTGGTCTTTGGTTATCAAATTCACTGCTTCAATAATTCGATGTTGTAGATCTTCAAGAGTGTCAGGCATAGAAGGGATAAAAACACGCTCTTTTATGTAACCCCAGAGATAAAAATCTGCTCTTTCTTTTTGAATAACCCTGTATATTTGCCTTCAGATTTCTAAAATATTGTTTCATAATTTTATTCTCAAATATAGTTTCATTTTTAAATAATATGGGTTGAATGTAATTTTTAACTGATTAATATTTAATTTATCCATTTCTAATTTCACTTCAGAGTGATAAATTTATGTAATGTAATTTGGGGGGGGGGGTTGCGTGCATGCGTGTGTTTAGGATAAAACTTCTCATCCTGTCTTTGCATGAATTGAGAAATATAATTTTAGAACAAGTTCAGGAAAATACATTGTAATGTATTTTACAGTGATTGACAAAATAACAGATAATCTTCTTAGTAAAACTTAAATTTTATTTTTAGTTTACGGAGATAGATAATTTGAATACATTTCTTTAGGTACAAATTTTTCATACATCTACTAGCTGGTAAAACTTTCAGAATAACAATTTTTTAACAATTCCTTATGTTGCTGAGAAACGGTTACATCATACAAATATGGCGTTGCTGCTTCAATAATAAATATAGTTATTTGTTAAATAACAAAATATTACAACCTCTCCCCCTCCAAATAAACTTTAATTTATCTTTTATAAATTAAAGTTTTTTTTTTTTTTTTTTTTTTTTTTTACACAACAGAATATCAACACAATACGTAATTTGAAATACTACATATAAGTATAATAATAAATAGTAAGGAAAAGAGGAACAAAATTATTTTTTTTATCTATCTAAGGAAATAAATTATTTAATCAGGCCATGGAGTACGTATTAATGTGTCTACATTTTTATGGTTTTTACCACTTTGATGAACTACTGTGTAATTGTAGGGTAGTAGTACTAGTGCCCATCTCATAAGTTGCGGATTTAGACTCACATTATTTTTGAGCCAAACTAGGGGATTATGATCGGTCATGATGAGGAATTTAGTATGCCCGTCTAAATAACATTGCAGTTTCTTTACAGCGAATATTAAGGCGGCACATTCCTTTTCTATGGTAGAGTACTTTTTTTCAGTTTCTCTAAACGTTTTACTGAGGTATAATACTGGATGTTCATTGTCTCATTCATCTTTCTGAGCTAAAATGACACTCATACCAGAGTTTGAAGCATCAGTTTGCAAAATAAACTCTTTATTGAAATCAGGTGCATATATAGTATAGGCTCTTGAAACAGTTTTTCCTTTAGGTCTTCACAAACTTTTCTCCACTCTTCTGTTCAATTTTTTCCCCCTTTCTTTAAGTTTACTTTCAAAGTTTTGGTTAAAGGTGCTGCTATAGATGAGAACATGGGAATGTAATGATTATAATATCCCGCTAATCCTAAAAATGCTCCGACTTGACTTTTTGTGGATGGCACGGGAAAATCAAGAATAGCTTTGACTTCGCTTGGCATTCTTATACCATGACCTGCAATATGTCCTAGATATTTTACACTATCTTGAGCAAATTTACATTTTATAGGTTTAATGGTCAAACCAGCATTCTTTATTTTTGTCAAAACGGCTTTCAGGTGATTTAGATGTTCTTCCCAGGTGTTTGAAAAGATTGCCACGTCATCTAAATATGGAACAGCAAAGTTTTCACAAACTGTTAAGGATTTCGGCCATCATTTTACTAAATGAGAATGGTCCGAAATGGTTTGAAGTTCGAAAGGCGCCTGTAGAGGTCTAAATGTTCCAAAACTTGTAACAAAAGTGGCTAATCTGTGGGAATTAGGTGTTGAAGGTGTTTGCCAGTATCCCTTTGTTAAATCCAAAAGAGTTATATATTTTGCTCCTGCTACCATTTCTACTCGTTGTTCGATGTTAGGCAAGGGAAAGAATTATGTTTTAGTCAACTCATTCAATTTTCTGTGGTCGATACAAAGTCTAGGATCCCTTCCTGCTACTTCCACTAAAATCATAGGAAAAGTGTAATCTGAATCTCCTATTTCAATTATTTTATGTTGAAACATTTTATCAATTTCTGTTTTTAATATATCTGTTTGTCTAGGAGATATTCTGTATGGCTTACAGTGGAATGGTGTGTTTTCTGTCAATTGAATATCATGCGTTGTTAAATGAGTTTTTCCAGGCTTATTAGAAAAGATTTTTGAAAACAGCAGATCATGCAATTGTTGAATCTGTTGTTCATTTAGCTTATCATTTAAGGAACTGTTTTCTTTAATGTCCTCAAAATCAAATAATGTTGGCTCAGAATCAGTTGTTGGGAAATTTTCCTCCATATCATCAGTTTCAGACTGATCTGTAATCAGAAGGTTAACCAATTCTGCTTGCCTGTGATAAGGTTTTAGCAAGTTAACATGGTAGACTTGATTAAGATCTTATTTTCCTTTGAAACTCACAACATAATTAGTTTTGGATAATTTCTTCTCAACCTTCTCAGGACCTTTCAATTAAACTGCTAGTGTATTTGGTTTATTCGTTGATATGACTAATACTAAATCTCCTTCAGAGAATTCTCTTTTAATAGCTTTGCGATCGTACCACACTTTTCTTTTGGTTTGCATTTGTAGCATTTTATCTGTAGCCAGTTCTTTGCATTTTTTAACCGATTTATCAATTGAAAAACATATTCAACAACACTATTTCCTTCGTCTTCAGGATTCATCCATTGTTCATATAATAATTTTACAGGTGTTCTAAGATTTCAGCCATATAATTATTCTGCAGGTGTAAATCCTGTACTCTCGTGCATTATTGATCTTAAAGCAAATAAAGCTACGAGAGCAGCTTTTCCCACTCAGGGGCTGCGCTGATACATAAGACTTTTAAAATTCGTTTGATTGTTCGGTTCAGGGTTGCTTTGCGGATGGTGTACTGAGCTTCTAGTTACTTTTATTAAAAATTTTTCTACAAATTCAATGGCTAGATTGTTCATAAAGGAGGTACCTTGATCAGTTTGTATTTTTTTGGGGGGAAACCCATTCTACTAAATATTTGTAACGTGGCTTCAATTACTGACGTTGTGCCAATATTAGGAACAGGTACAGCATCTGGATATTTTGAAGCTAAACAAATAGCTGTAATTAAATATCTATTGTCATTTGGTGTTATTGGTAAAGGGCCGCATGCGTCAAAGTTAATTTTTGAAAATACTTCTGCAATAATTGTACTAAAGTCAAAGGTGCTTTGTCTTTATCATTAGATTTTCCCACTCTTTGACATGGATCGCAAGTTTTAACATACTCTTCTATTTCTTTATAGCAATTAGGACAGTGAAGGTATCTTGTTAACCTATCTTTAGTTTTGACGCCGCCTAAATGTCCAGATGTGCTATCATGACATAATGACTTTATTTGATTCCTATATTTTTTCGGAATAACAGTTAATTCCCTTTCATTTCCATTTTTATCTAATTTCTTTTTCATCAACAACCCATTCTCCTTTACTTGAAATCATTTGTCGTGCTGGAATTTTCATTTTTAGCTTCGCTAAGCAACGAGGCTAGATCTCTGCTTTGATGCTGAGATTCAATTAATTCCTTAGAATTAACATTAATTACTTTTTTAATTTTCTTGTCTTCCTCATCAGCTTGCGGTAAAATATCTTCGTCAGTTTCAATAAACATCTGTTCTTCTAGTTTCTCCATTTCGGTTTCTGTACTCCGATCTTCTTCACGCGATCGTTTTACTTGAGATTGTGTCAAAACAGCATTTATTTTTTTCTAAATTTAAGAATGATTTATCTTTGAACAATTGGGCAGTTTTGTTACCCAATACATATCTGCCAGGATCATTTGTAACAACAGCTGCCTTTGTCTTTATGTGACCAAGTTCACAATTAATTTCAACTTCCGCTAATGGTAGACACACTAAATGGTCATTTAAAAGATATTGTACCCAGTCATTTTTTCATTATCTGTGTATTTTCGAGAAATAACATCTACAGTGGCTCCTGTGTCTTGAAGAATAGGCATTTCATACCCATTAACTAAACCGTTAATTGTATATGTCTCAACAAATCATCATTCGAAGATACGTAATTTACCTTTTCATTTGGTTTTAAGTGAGGGCACTGAGGCTTAAAATGCTCGTATGAGCAACACTCAAAACAATGTGGTTGATATCTTTTGTCATATAAATTTTCTTGGTTTTTGTTTTGGAACTGATTCCTTTGTCTATGATTTTTCTGGTATTTTGAATCATCCCATCTTATGCTTAAAAGAGTGCTTAAAATGAGGCGGATGCTCTATTTTTTTCACAAAATTTTCGTAACGAGGTTTAAATGATCCTTTGTTAAATCTCTCAGTTTGACTGGCAGAAATTTTCAATTTATTTTCTCACATCTTCAAAATCTTCAATTTTCTTAACCATCTCAGTAGGTGAAATGATGGTAGTCCATTCATCCATATAATGTTCTTTGAAATCAGGAGAAGTACGTTTTTTAATTTAATCAACCAGCATGAGATCTTTTAGCTGTTCAAAAGTTTTAATGTTTAATCTGTTAAGCCATCCTTCTAAATAATTCTTTAAATCATAGTAGTTCCAAAAGCCATGGGAATTCAAGCTGTAAGCAAGTTTAATTTAGGTAATACTGTACATCGACTACACCCGCAGACATTGTGCACTACTCAAAATAACCGTTCTAAGCACTTAGTACCATATAATGGTCATTTTCCATGTCTCTAGAAAGCCACGTGTA